TGCTACAGCTGCCGTGGGTTCAACGGGCGGGGAATCGGACAGAGAGTTTAAAAGAAAATCCAGCTGATGCTGATGATGCTCGCGCTGGAAAACACTAGACCACCTCAGTCAATGGGTCGAACTGCTACGGGTGCCTAGGTTCACCGGCCCGGAATCGGACAGAGAGCTTGAAAGGAAATCCAGCTGATGCTGATGATGCTCGCGCTGCGGCGCACTAAATCAATCCCAATCAGTGGGTTGAGCTGCTACGCTTGCGATGGGCCAAAAGGCGGAGATCTGAGGGAGAGTTAGAACGGATTTTGCTGGGAATGGGATCCTTGCGTGATGTGCTGTTGTCGTGGGGAGCTGGATGTCAAAGCATCGGCCGCGACTCCAGCTGGGCGAGGTTCCTAGTGCATGGTGGGTTGGAGGTGGACAAAGTATCTCGCGTTGCAATCAGACAGGAAGTGCACAGCACGGCTAAGTTACGCCGCAACTCTAAATTTGCTGGAAACACCGTCGGCCGTGTGCAAGAGCGACCTTTCGGCTCACATTGCCGCTGCAACTCTAAATTTAGCTTTGGAATGATACTAGTAGTCCGGCTGAAGGGCTTAAAATGTATTAGTTGAAGCGGCCCTGTGCTTGAAGAGTTCACGAGAGTAAGCTCGGCACAGTTTGTTCCACCTCCTCACGCCGATTCGTGCAGATCGGATATACAACGACGTGTGTGACATGCTGAATGTCTGCGGGCAAGTTTTTCTCCACCAGCCTCGCAGACCTATTCACATCGATGCTTTAATCGGAAGTCGGAGTGAAGTATCACGTGGCAAACCCCACGAGTCTTCGTAGCGAGTCTCTTTGGACCAGTCATACACCGTTGGCTGTCGCCTTAAATCTCTTTGGAGTCCTGTCATTTGGAGCCTTACGTAGACAGAGCAGTTTGAAAGCACCCTGATCTGGGATCCGACCCCCCTGTGTGCAGTCAAGTGTCGCCGGAAGCGCCGACGGCACGCTTTCGCCCGTCGCCCTCAGTGCAAAACAATCTCAGGAATGAGTTAGGTTTTGCACCTTAGTTGATCCCGCTTCCCTGAGCTTTTGGCCTATGTGGCTCCTGTATTTAGTTTCGTTTTCTGCTGCTCGAAATCCAGGGCTCCCGCCAAATCCGTTACGTACTCGGGCAGGTCTGC